TAAGACGGAGCTCTTCCACCAGGCGTATGAGTAGGAGCCGCCACTACCATCATTATTGTTCCATCTTACCTGGCCCTGGAAGAGGGAACACCAGTGTTTCCCTGGAGCAGATGATGCTGAGGAACAGAGCAGTGGCAATAGAGCAGTGAAACACGCCCTCTTGTGAAATAACATCTAGAGCACTTTGTTAATAATTGGTTATAATGTTATCTGTATTGTGATGATTTTAAATGATTTTAAATATGTTTTATATTGGCATATGCCTCTTGTAAGGTGCCCTGAGCCCGCGTAGCGGGGAGGGCGGGGTATAAATTGAATAAAATAAATAAATAAATAAAATAAAGCGGGGGTGGCCAAACTGTGGCTCGGGAGCCACATGCGGCTCTTTCACGCGTATTGTGTGGCTCCCGGCAGGGCTGGCTGGGGAAGCGAAGAGGAGGCGTGCTTCTTCTCCCTCCCTCCCTCCCTCCCATCTATTTGCATTTTTTGTTTCTCTCTCTCTCTTTCTTTCCACCTCTTTCATTCTTTCTTCCCATTTCTTTCTTTTTCTTTCTCTCTTAGACAGATAAATATCACTAGCGAACAAACGAATATCGTTATCAATATCTGTTTTTACCCCTTTTGCTTTTATTTTTGGTAGTCTCGTTTAATGTTAAGAAAAAGCAAATGTGCATATTTTTAAATAAAAACGTGGGTGCAATATTTGTTCATGTCTTGCGGCTCTCGAGCATCTCTCACTTCTAGCCAAAGGCAGGATGGCTCTCCCCCCTACCCTTCGACCCACACAGAAGGGGGGCAGCAAGCCACTCCCTTGCTTAGCCACATTCCATCCTGCCTTGTGATCCAGAGCGTGGCTTACACCACAGAGAACTCCGGGACAGCAGCCAAGACCTGAATATAGAATCTGCAAATGACCTTTGGCTTGCAAATGCAGGTGCGGGGAAAGTCCACGCTCTGAAAACTTTGCACAGCTCTCGCCTGCGAGTAAGTTCTACTCAGAGACAAAAGTGCTAGTCATTCCTCAATGTGCATCTGAGAGCCAGTTTGGGGTCGTGGTTAAGTGCGCGGACTCTAATCTGGGAGAACCGGGTTTGATTCCCCACTCCTCCACATTGCAGCTGCTGGTGTGACCTTGGGTCAGTCACAAGTTCTCTCAGGGCTGTTCTCTCAAGAGCAGTCCTCCAGAGAGCTCTCTCAGCCCCACCTCCCTCCCAGGCAGTGTTCCCTCTAAGCCGAGTTAGTGTGAGCTAGCTCACAGTTTTTCAGCCTCCGGCTCACACATTTTTGTGTTCGCTCAGGAAGGATGGCTCCAGAGCAAACTAATTTAGGCAGTAGCCAAATCGCTTGCTCACAACTTTCATGCCAGTAGCTCACAAAGTAGGATTTTTGCTCACAAGACTCCACAGCTTAGAGGGAACATTGCTCCCAGGGTGTCTGTTGTGGGGAGGGGACGGGAAAGGAGTTTATAAGCCACTCTGAGACTCCTTTGGGTAGTGAAGGGTGGGGTATAAATCCAATCTCTTCTTCCTCTTCTTATGTGACTTCCGAGAGTTGTCATGACATCTCATTGTGTCCCATCCCCCCCAGTAACCAGAAGGCTACAGTGCCTTGAAACATACTTTCCCCAAGCCACGCTTATAAATACTTAATTCACGTGCAAGGATTATGAGAAGGGCCATCTGATGCTCCGCCTGGGGCGGAGGAGACAGTTTTCTCTCTACAACACTAAGTGCTTCCCGTCAGTCTGAACCGATAACCTTCATGGGATGTACTGTGAAGCTCTCAAGGTTTTTACTGCACAAATTCCGGCCAGAACCGGGCTTACTTCTTGCCTTCCTCCCGCCATGCGGTGATAATCCGTCTGGTTGCACTTTGTCGAAAACTCATCCTTTTTCACAATCTGTAAAACATGGAAGAACAAGGGAGCTATGGAGTTAAGACCCCAGGAGACACAGAGAGAGGGAACTCAAGGACGGCGTGACTTGTGCCGCCCAAACCCCCTTCGAATTTACTGCTGGCCTGTAAAAAACTGAAAATGTTTCGGACATACGAACGACTGGATTTCCACTCAGACAAATGATCTCCAAATGTGCGTGACCTTCAGAAGACGACTGGATTTATACAACAACAATCGAGTCCAGGAGCACCTTACTTTGGTGTAGTGGTTAAGTGCGCGAGAACCGGGTTTGATTCCCCACTCCTCTACTTGCACCTGGCTGGATGACCTTGGGCAAGCCATAGTTCTGATAAGAGCTGTTCTTGGAAAAAGAGCAGTTTCTGTCAGAGCTCTCCCAGCCCCACCTGCCTCACCGGGTGTCTGTTGTGGAGAGGGGAAGGGAAAGGAGTTTGTAAGACGCTCTCAGACTTCTTTGGGTAAAGAAGGTCGGGGTATAAATCCAATCTCTTCTTCTTCTTCAAGATCAATAAGATTTGGGTATGGGCTTTTGAGAGTCAAAGGTCCTTCATCCCACCTCGAAAGCTCATACCCCCAAAGACTGACAGCCAGTTTTGTGTAGTGGTTAAGTGTGCAGACTCTAATCTGGGATAACCAGGTTTGATTCCCCACTCCCCCTGCACTTGCAGCTGCCGGTGTAATCTTGGGTCAGTCACAAGTTCTTTCAAAACTGTTCTCACAAGGGCAGTTCTTGAGAGAGCTCTCTCAGCCCCACCTACTTCACAGGGTGTCTGTTGTGGGGAGGGGAAGGGAAAGGAGTTTGTCAGCCGTTCTGAGACTCCTTTGGGTAGTGAAGGGCAGGGTATAAATCCAATCTCCTCTTCTTCAAATCTTACTGGGTCTCTAAGGTCTTGGTCCATTTGGCCTCTAAGGTGCAGCAGCAGCAGCAGCAGGAGATTGGATTTATGCCCCGCCCTTCACTCAGAGTCTCAGAGCAGCTTACAATCTCCTTTCCCTTCCCCTCCACACAACAGACACCCTGTGAGGTAGGTGGGGCTGAGAGAGCTCTCTCGAGAACTGCCCTTGAGAGAACAACTTTGAAAGAACTTGTGACTGACCCAAGGTCACACCAGCAGCTGCATGTGGAGGAGTGGGGAATCAAACCCGGTTCTCCCAGATTAGAGTCCGTGCACTTAACCACCGCACCGAACTGGCTCTAGCTGTTCTTCTGGAGACCAACACGGCTGCTCCCCTCTGAACCGATCTGGCTTTACACAGCTTTCCAGACCAACGGTGTGAGAGCCTCCAACTGATAACCTGGGTTAAAGTGACCAGCGCGCAGGTCAGAAGGCAAGACCTGCGGCCACCTGGGCGGGCAAGGCAGTCAGAGACAAGGTGGGCCGCTCACCTGAATATGTCCGTTGTGGGGGCCCTTGTGGCCATACATGCACTCGACGGTGGCGCTCTTCCTCTCCATCAAGTGGATCCTGAAGAGAGGCTTGAACCTCATTGGGTCGTCCACGTGAGGGTCATGGGGAGGCAGATACATCCAGCCAATGATGAAGAAGCCGTCTACCTGTCAAGAGCGTGAGGAGGAGAGAGTCAAGACCCCCGTCGCTTTGAGCTAAGCAGGCTTCCAAAATGGCAGCTCTATTCCAAGATGCGTGTGGGGCCCCCCCCTCTCTTCGTGTTCTCTATCTGCGGAGGTGGATAATTGACCTCCGATAACATGGTTCCTTCTCAGCTGTTCCTTACAGCATCCTTCCTTGTGGGAAGGGAAGGTCATTCAGAGGGCTTTCGCGCTGCGTTCCCGGCTCTTCCTGCAGAGTGATTGGCCCCCCAGGCTCCTTGCGCTCTGCAGCGCAGCTGTGCTGATGCCGGCGCCTCCGACTAATTAGGTGGAAGGCACCTCAAGTTGGCAGCTCTGCTGTCAGAACGAGGAGGAGGAGGAGGAGGATCTGTTCCCCAGCTAGCTGTGAGCAGCGCTGCAGAACTCTCGCAGCTCTCTGACGAAAGGGAAGGAACCAGTCGTCCTCTCTGAAGGGCAGGCCAAAGGGAGGAAGATATTCTGAAGCCTGAGGCCCCAGGAACTCAAACGGTCCCCTCCCTTCCCCTCTAATTAACGTGGGGCGGAATCGGTGGGGGACGTTCTCCTGCAGAGGCTCGGTTTAAACAAAGGGAAGCTGAACAAGGACGAACTTTCCTGTGCTGCTGTGCACTTCCGGTTCTTTTTAATGGGGACCGGGCAGGAGGACGCCTCTGTGCAGTGTTCCCTCTAAGCTGAGTTGGCGTGAGCTAGGTCACCGGTTCTTGGCCTCCGGCTCACGCATTCTTTGCCTTCGCTCAGGAAGGAGGGCTCCAGAGCAAACTGATTTATGCAGCAGCCAAATCCCTCGCTTGCAACTTTAATGCCAGTAGCTCACAGAGCAGAATTTTTGCTCACGAGGACTCCACAGCTCAGAGGGAGCATTGCCTCTGTGCCCCTCTTCAGCAAACCGGAACCATTTGCTTCTCCCCGTGCCACTCTTAACAGGGTCCCCGATTCACCAGCTCAGGCCGCACATGAAGCTGCCTTCTACTGTATCAGGCCCTTGGTCCACTCAGACCAGCAGGGGCTCTCCAGGGTCTCAGGCGGAGGACTTTCACGTCACCTCCTGGCTCACCCATCTTAACTGGAGATGCTGGGGATCGAACCTGCGACCTTCTGCATCCCAAGCAGAGGCTCTACCACTGAGCCACGGCCCCTCCCTAGCAGCAACGCTTCGCCCACAGTGGGCCCTTTCTGCCACTTCCCCACATACAAGCCCGAAGTGGTCCCAGTCCCTCTCCCCACCCAAACCGCCGGAGAGCTCTCATCAGGCACCCATCTGCTGCTCCTCACTGCCGCCCCTTCTTCAAGGAGGCTGAAGCCTGCAACTAATCCTCCCAGGCACACAGGGGAAAGGTCCCGCTTGGAGCCAGGTTTGGTGCCAAGCTTCGGCCCAAGCACTTCCTGGTGAGAGGGAGAAATGGCGGCCTGCGCACAGGCAACCCAGACGGGACCAGCTCCAAGACCCGGCGACCCAATCTTTGGCCGTCCTCTATACTCACCACCACATTCAACAGTCCCCCATAGGGTCCGATGTCTGGTTGCCACAGCCCCAAGATGTGTCGGTATCTGTGCAGCACTAGAGAATTGGGGGGGGGAAGCAGAAAATCTCTAATGGGATAAGGAGACGCCACAGGAAAGGGAAGTCCAAAGCAGCAAGGAAGGAGAGGAGCACACACAACGTGTCCTAAAGCTACAGTGAAGTGGACCTGGGTGTATTCCTTGCTCAAAGTGGCAATGCCGGCCAAGCAATTTGATAGCCTCCATAGATTATGCAAATCCACTTGCAGAATATCATAATTATGTTGCATGAGGACTGCACCCACAGGTACACACACCTGGAAAGCTCAGTCACATTCTCCCCGGCTTCAGAAGCATCCCTGTTGCTCAAACGCATCTTCTGAGCCACAAGGATTAGCGGCTTGCTTTCAGAAGCCAAACACGTTCTGCGTTCTCAAGACTTTGAACTCTGTGCCTAATACGCGGCTTTGCACAGCTTGTGTAGAATACACCCAGCTCCCCGAAAAGAGTTAACACATTCCACACACAGCACTCTCGGAAAGACATGTTTGGCCTCACTGGGGATGGAGGTGGCTGTCACCAAGAACAGCTGGAACACAACTTTGGTCACCCTTGAAGAAAAATCACACCCCCATTGTCAACTTTTTACGAAGTACGGCTCTGCTCAACGGGCAGTCTTGGTGAAATGAGAGACCAGGTGGAACGACGGATTATGATCAGTTTTTGCCTTTCCACGCTGGTATTTATTTAGTTTTATTGTATTTATTGTATTTTAGATCTTGTATTAGTTGTTTTTAAATTGTATGTTGTTTTAAACTATTGTAAGCCGCCTCTCGGCGGGAGGGCAGGGTAGAAATCCAATAAATATTTATTAGTAAGCTCAGAATGCGGCCACCGAGGCAATTATTCAGAGGGGGAAGAAGGACACCATAGCTTTCCTGCAAGCTGCATTTACCTGCCCGGGAGAAATACTATGAACATCTGAATATCTTCTCCAGTGAGAGGCAAAAGTAGCTTTGGGGGGGTGGTTTGCAGCATGCAAATGACACACAGGGAGAGCGTTCGGCAGCTCCTCTCCCTCTGTGTCCAACTCCACCTCTGAACGGCTGTCCCAGCAACTATGCTGTGCTTTACAGAAAGAAACACCCCTCGAAAGAACAACTGTGAACTGAACTAATATGTCGCTCCACCGCAGCTGTACCACTGCAGGCAGACCCAGGACAGAAAGGAGACGATTCCTGGGTGCTCTGGACGTCCAGACTGTTCTCGTTCCTGTCATTTAATTGTGCAAGCTTTAATCCAAATAGAACGAAGCTCCCAAGAGAGGGGAAGACTGAAGACAAACCAAACAGCCACCAAAAATGCCTCCTGAGAAACCAAAGGCTCCTTTCCCTCGTCTCCCTGCTAGCTGCACCCTCGACAAAGTCTAGCAGCTGCTCTTTACAGATCCAACACGGGATTTTAACATGGAATTCTAAAGGAGGGGAAGTCTTCCTTAGCCCGCCGGCAGTGCTTGGAAACGTCTTCTGTTTTACAGGTGCTAGACGACCAGCACACAAAACAACAGACACGTGACCTCCTAATACCCATGGTGCATTTCATTCCTCCCAGAGGCACTGCTGACCTAAGAAGGCCACAGCGGAGGTTCCCGGAAAGGCCCAGCTGCTCCACTCAGTCCAGTCCCCAGGCTGCGGCTAAGCCAAGGGGCAGGCTACTCTTTTAGGAGGAGGAGGAGATCGGATTTATTCCCCGCCCTTCACTTGGAGTCTCAGAGCGGTTTACAAACTCCTTTCCCTTTCCCTCCCCACAACAGACACCCTGTGAGGTGGGTGGGGCTGAGAGAAGTCTGACACAAACTGCTCCTTCAGGAACAGCTGTGCCAGAACTATGGCTTGCCCAAGGTCATCCAGCAGGTGCAAGTGGAGGAGTGGGGAATCAAACCCGGTTCTCCCAGATTAGAGTCCGCACACTTAACCACTACACCAAACTGGCTTTAGAGTCATATTAGGCCGGGTTTTCTCCCAGCACCCAAACAGTGGTCAACTTACACACTGTGCAGTGAAAATCCCAAGCAATCTGGCCCTCGACTTAGCACCGCCATCCCAGAGAACCAGCCAGAGACACTCCCACACACCTGGGGACCAGGGTTCCCTGTAAGCTGAGTTAGTGTGAGCTAGCTCACAGTTTTCTAGCCTCCAGCGCACACATTGTTTGCCTTAGCTCAGGAAGGGATGGCTCCAGAGTAAACTAATTTTTGCAGCAGCCAAACCGCTTGCTCACAACTTTAATGCCAGGAGCTCACAAAGTAGAATTTTTGCTCACAAGGACTCCACAGCTTAGGGGGAGCCTTGCTGGGAACCACAAGAAACAGCTACGTAGGAACCTAGCGAGCCAGGCGACCCAGAGCTCATGTGCTACTTGGGGGTTAGTGTGAGAGACCTTGAAGGACAGGGTCTGCGGAAGTTTGTGCAGACCCCCACTCCTTCGTTGCACTGTGGTTCGCGCCCCTGCCCCCTTGCGTAGCTTTCGGGACAGCTGCGTGATGTGCAGACGCTCCTTCCTCTCTCTCTGCATATCCATGCTGTGCTGGTTGGTCTGCCCATTGCACAGTTCTTAAGAGGCTGAGAGCCGGCCCTTGAGACGACCACAACGGCCACAACACCACACTGCAGGTTCCAAGCAGGCCACTTGAATCATAGAATCATAGAATGTTAGAATTGGAAGGGACCTTGCAGGTCATCTAGTCCAACCCCCTGCACTCTGCAAGGAGCATAGCCGAAAGACAGCCCCACAACACACCCAAAAGATGGTTGTCCAGCCTCCGCTTGAAAACGTCCAGTGAAGAAGCATCCACCACCTCCCGAGGCAGTCTGTTAGGAAGTTTCTCTGATATTTAGCCTGCATCGACTCCCTTGTAATTTCCACCCATTAGATCTAGTCTTGCAATCCGGAGCAAGAGCGAATAGATCTGCTCCATCTTCTACATAAGAGCCCCTCAGATACTTGAAGACTGCAATCATGTCCCCTCTAAGCCTTCTCTCTCCCAGGCTAAACATACCCAACTCTTTCAGCCTTTCCTCATAAGACTTGGAGGAATTTCAGACAGACGATATAATCCGGAAGAAGAACGGTTCCCAAATGGTTTCTGGTCTGTCATTTCAGACAGAACCATTTTAGAACCGGTTCCCTACCGGAATATATTTGTAATTTCACACACAAACGCTTCTGTCCCGTTTAGGAAACGGGGCTGAAGTGTTTTACCTGTCAACCGCTTCCAAGTAGTCTTCCGTTTCCTCTCCCAGTTCCGATGCGCTTTTTCCCGCCGTTTTTCGCCCGCGTGGGCAATCTCCGGCTTTTTAAAAAAAAGTTTGCTTTATATTTTTATAGCGCTATAACGGTACAATGCTATAATGCA